ACGAGGGACCACGATGTCACGTGACCCTCATACGTCGGCAGCGACCGAACGAAAAAAATGACCAAATAAGGTCATTCATCTCCCTAGGTGATGACGAATTTAACAGTAATTGGTTAAACGATGTCTGCATTGTCGTCACCCATGACGGGGGAGACTGTCATAAATCTGGAGAGCTGTCAAAAGAGTAGCAGATTTTCCCACGCTATAGAGTATATAAAGGGGTCAAATTTTCTACTCCGGGCGCTTGGCTGAGGAGCTAATGCCGAAGAAACCCCTCTGCAAACCTTAAGAGCGATCGTCGCATGATCTTCCAGCACTCTCAGGATCTAAGAAGCTCATAATTGCCGCTCCATGAAAGGTAAAGGACTTTGCTTATTTTCTATTCTCTCCATATACGACGGAATTACTCCTCGGAGAGGTTGATTGAAGAAACCTCCGAAGAACTTCGTCAAGGAAGAACTCTACATATTGGGAGCGACGGAGCGTACACCGTAACCGGACATAGCCGCACGGCCTGAGAAGGACATCACTCCACATAGCCTTCAAAGGACGCCTCAGAATACTAGACGACGATCACAGAGTGTTTTATCAACGCCCTATAACGTGATAACGTTTCCTACAATGTAAACCCTTGCATTATAATTTGTCTCTCTCCAACGTGAGCTCTCTCTCGAAGTCTAGCGTTAGGTTAGAATAGGTTCTAGAAACATATTTATTTATATCTTAACGCGCGGGTTATATCTATTATCTTATGTATAATTTCTTAGTTGTTTATTAAATGTGTTCGTTAATTTAAACCTGTGTAATCTTTGGCCACACGACTTCCGACTCCTCCCCACTCATATTTTTGCCCTCCTATTGCTGTCTGACAACCGAGAGCGGGTCTTCCCGACCCGTGCAGATTAAGTGGTCATTAGGGTTCGACCCAGTGACCCCCTGCTGCTCACACAGATATATATCTGATTCACTGATTAAACACAGCACAGCCACTTGCTACTTATAGAGACAAACTAACGTTAAAGCCAAATACTGTCAATAATTTAAGGTCAAAGCAGAACTATCAACACGTTACACGTGCAATTGTCTTTTATGATAATTGCCGCCTCAGCTTTTAGGAGAGTCGCGCTGTATATTACAAACAAAAACAATAGCTTTGCGCTGTCTTTTCAAAAGCCTTTTGACTGCCACTCTCCAACAATGCATTTGCACCATAAACCGAAATCAAAGGGTACTGAAAGCACTTAAGCAGAGGCGATCAATAAATCATTAATAATATACATCAATATCAGAATAACATAGATCAATATAGAAAAGCGTTGCGTAAAAATTTTTAATTATTGAATGGTTCAAATAATATTTTGATTTCGCTGCTTATGCCGCCCCCTTACGGTGCCGCNTGGCCAACAAGTCAATCGCGATTGACCGGTCGATCACGAAGCCAATTTTGGAAGATCGTTCACAATGTCTTGACTTAATGTGTTACACTTGTAACCAAATGCAACGTGTGAACATAACGCACAAACACAACAGTAATGATATTGGACCCCAGTATCCTCCCTCAGATGCAGTTTTGTTGGTCCATGTGCAATCCATTTGCATACAGTTGTAAAAGGGGAATAAGAAATGTAGACAAAAAATGTAGACTGAAAAAAAGAAAGGCGGTTAGAGGACAGAGAGAGTAGGTCGAGACACTAGAGAGAGGAAAGATGAAGCAGCAGTCTCAAAAGTGACAATGTTGAGTTTCAATTTTTCTTCTGTTTAAAATGTAAGTACCTTTTCTTCATGTTTTAAATTAAACTGTGGCTTTTCTTATCTATCTAAACATAGTATTTCACGCCTCCCTCCCCCTCGCCACTTAGACCAAGGAGGGGGCAACCTTTTTCAGAAGCGGCCCGCGTCAGTTCAAAAGTTTTGAACTGACGCGGGCCGCTTCTGAATTGTTAGTCGGTTTCTTGTTTTAATTTTTACTAAATTTATTGCAGGAAAAATTATTCACATACATAACTTGTAGAAAATAACATTTGAATTTTTGCTGCATGCTTCTTAAGCTAAAAAATTGATATATTTATGCATACTTTATGCAACTCGGGCCGCGGGTTGCCCATCCCTAACTTAGACTATGCCCCCAACAACGAGTCGATCGCGACACATTTTTAAGATAAAAAGTAGATCTTATGTACACATAAGTTGGCCACCCCTGTTGTATATAAAAAAAAAACAGATTTTTTTTATCAGTATAAAAAAATATTTTTGTGGATAAAAATGAATCTCTAAGTTAGACATACCAAGTAGTAATTTTCCTGTTATTACAGAAATATTTATATAATTTGTTTACAACCAATAGAAAAGTACTTCTTATAATGAATGATCAAGTAAAATATTTGTCATGAAAATTTTTACACAGTCAATCATCTCTCTTTTCAAAAGCCCATAAAAATCCAACAATTTGAATGAATTTTACTACTATACTCCAATATTTAACACTCTACTTCTCCCACATCCACCTTTGAAAGCAGTAGTGTGTAGATAGTCTGCATTACTAGGTTGTAGTGAAAAATGATGAAAGAGAAGTAAGGAGTAATGGAATGAATAGTACATAGTGCATGGGTGTCTGTCATGTTATTAAAATCTATATACTTACTACAGGGAGACAGTTGTAAAAAAAAATACACCAATGAAATTTTGTCTATCAAGTAAGGAATGTGAAAATTGTATGTAAAATATTGTTTATGTATATATATATATATACACACACAGTAGAGCCTCGATTATCCGACCCAATTGTGGACTGGGGGTAACTAATATTTACTAGCAATTTATGATGCAAAATGTAAATCATAAATTATGATAAATTTGAATACAATAAAAATTTTATTTATAAAATTTACTATAAGTATGATTTTAAAATAGAAGAAAGAAAAAACTCTATATGGCTCAAACTCATTTAGGGAGTCACAATTACAATTTATAAAATTTTATAAATATCTATTGCTATCAGTGCTAAATATCAGTGCTCTCTATGGCAGTGTTTCTCAACAGAGCGATATTGCCCACACGTGAGCGTTTTTCCATGTTGAGGGGCGATTAGTAACAATTTATATTTTGGGGGCAAAAAACAATTTTCTGGGCGATATAGTAAAACATAATATTAAGAATAATTAGATATTTTATTCATTATATCGTACAATAATTAAACAAATAACATTACACTAGTCACTAGTCTATTGAATGCAGTATAAATTTGGTGTTAGCCTTGTCCCTCGGCATTGAAATTTTGTAGTGAAGGGGGCGATACTACATAACGGTTTTATTGAAGGGGCAACAATTCATTAGAGATTGAGAAACACTGATCTATGGCAAGAAATGTAACTAGTTTGGTACTAAAATTTTTATTATACACAAAAAAATCCCATTCCTTTCTAAGCATTCTGTGAAAACTGCATCATCTTACTGTAAATAGTATGCAAGTAATTAATTTTTTTAAATTTCTGTGACTTTTGAATCACCCTGTATATATAATATCATATAAAACAATAAGAAAATTAATTTACTTATTGTTTTAATTAAGAAAGTAAAGTTATATTTAAAATGACATATATTAAGAAAAACTAGAAAACAAATCCCAAATGGCTATGCTTACTAAATATGAAAAACTAAAATGTTTTGTCCTTGATAAACTGCAAATAATTTATTTTAATGTATCACAATTATCATCTATAGTAGAAATATGTTTACCTTTATTTTTAGACAGAAGATCATTAGCATCTTTTAATTCTTTTTTTAAATTTGTTATTTCTTTTTCTTTCTCTTCAAGTTGTTTGTTCCATTGATTATTAGTATCATTTAATTTTTCTTCTAATTGTGTATTTAATTCATTAGTTTCTTGAAGAAATTTATGCATTTCTTCAACTGCTCGCATCAATTCATCGATACGTTCTTGTCCCTCTGAAGATGATTTCTAATAAAAACAGTAATTTTAGTTTAACTTTATTAACTTTTTTAATTGATTATAGTAGTATAAATACAGTGATTTACTGAAAATTTTCATTTATTCACTTACAAAAATTTGAACAAATTAAATATTGATTTACAGAATTTATCTTTTAGGATTATTTAAAGTAAAAAAATAAATGAAATGATTAAAATATCTAAGAAAAAACTAAATCTTTAAAAAAATTATATTCAAATAAGAAATCAGGATAAGAATAAAACGAATAAAGAGATCTAAGTCTCTTTCATAATTATTCTAATAATTTGGCTTACAAGGAGTATAATCCAAGTGTCCTTCTTTAATTCTGATAATTCATATGTATGTTGTATATCAGGGGTGGCCAACAAGTCGATCGCGAAAGCAGTTTTGGTTGATCGCTCACGATGTCTTGACTTAATGTGTTACACTTTTAACCTGTAACCGAACGCAACTGTAGTGATATCGGACCTCCTCGTTCTCCCTCAGAAACGGTTTTGTCGGTCCATGTGTAATCCATTTGCTTACAGTTGTAAAAGGTGAATAAGAAATGTAGACAAAGCGTCGTAAAACCAAAAAAAAGGGACAGCGAGAGTAGGTCGGGACATGATAGAGAGAGGAAGGATGAAGTGGTGGTCCCCGAAAGTGACAACGTTGAGTTTCAATTTTTTTTCTGTTTAAAATGTATCTTTCTTCATGTTTTAAATTAAACTGTGGCTTTTCTTATCTATCTAAACATAGTATTTCACGCCTCCCTCCCCCTCGCCACTTAGACCAAGGAGGGGGCAACCTTTTTCAGAAGCGGCCCGCGTCAGTTCAAAAGTTTTGAACTGACGCGGGCCGCTTCTGAATTGTTAGTCGGTTTCTTGTTTTAATTTTTACTAAATTTATTGCAGGAAAAATTATTCACATACATAACTTGTAGAAAATAACATTTGAATTTTTGCTGCATGCTTCTTAAGCTAAAAAATTGATATATTTATGCATACTTTATGCAACTCGGGCCGCGGGTTGCCCATCCCTAACTTAGACTATGCCCCCAACAACGAGTCGATCGCGACACATTTTTAAGATAAAAAGTAGATCTTATGTACACATAAGTTGGCCACCCCTGTTGTATATAAAAAAAAAACAGATTTTTTTTATCAGTATAAAAAAATATTTTTGTGGATAAAAATGAATCTCTAAGTTAGACATACCAAGTAGTAATTTTCCTGTTATTACAGAAATATTTATATAATTTGTTTACAACCAATAGAAAAGTACTTCTTATAATGAATGATCAAGTAAAATATTTGTCATGAAAATTTTTACACAGTCAATCATCTCTCTTTTCAAAAGCCCATAAAAATCCAACAATTTGAATGAATTTTACTACTATACTCCAATATTTAACACTCTACTTCTCCCACATCCACCTTTGAAAGCAGTAGTGTGTAGATAGTCTGCATTACTAGGTTGTAGTGAAAAATGATGAAAGAGAAGTAAGGAGTAATGGAATGAATAGTACATAGTGCATGGGTGTCTGTCATGTTATTAAAATCTATATACTTACTACAGGGAGACAGTTGTAAAAAAAAATACACCAATGAAATTTTGTCTATCAAGTAAGGAATGTGAAAATTGTATGTAAAATATTGTTTATGTATATATATATATATACACACACAGTAGAGCCTCGATTATCCGACCCAATTGTGGACTGGGGTTGGTCGGATAATTGAAAAGTCAGATAACCGAAAAGTATAAAAAATCCATTATTAGTGTAGTATATTCTTATATCCCATGTAATTAGTATATTAGTATATCGCTATTAACCTACTTCGCGTTGAATTTTAATCGATGTTAAGCCTAACAAAAATTTTTTAAAATAATAATCATCGCTATTATATCGTTAAAAATTAGAAAATTAAGCCTCGTTCAAATACTGGCTCCCTTTCATGGTCGAGCCAGTGTTGCCAGCTAAAACATGTAAAAATAATATTAAAGTAGCCAAGACATAGCCAAATATTGTAGCGCCACATCACTAGCGGACATTTGAAATTTGCCGACTAGGACGGTCGGTTAATCGGGGGTCGGATAATCGAGGCTCTACTGTATGTTAATCTTAGGGTTGTAGATCATGTTTTATATAATATTGTAAAAAAGATAGATTATTAAAAAACTACCATTTTTTTACTGTGTTTTACTGTGTCAGTTACAAGGATTGTAATGAAAACAGCTAAAGGAGGACAACATTGCTTTTTCTTATCAAAATGCATACTGAAATTTTATTTGTGAAGTTTATAATTGTTGAAATAAGCATAGGTTAATATATAATAAGTCTGTTGCTAGTTGTGTTTAAATCAAATGTTTAATTATTAACTAAAATACAAAAAAAAGGCATTGATATATGTTTTCTTGATTTCAATTATCACCATTCTCCATCCACAGAAATATTTCAGAATTATTATTCTGCCAAATTCACAGAAAAATACTATTTCAAGATCACAAAAAATAAAACTCATGCTGTTCTATAACATTTTTGTAATAAAAATATAAAAACTATTTAAACTAGATTATATTTGCAATGATCAAAACTTTAATAAAATTGAATGCCTCTTAACAAAATCAGTAACAAAAAATTTGATCAAACAGTAGTACAATTAGCAAAAACTTGGCACCAATGCAAAGACATTTCTGCTGCTCAAAAGTTGATTACCAATCATTTGAAAATCGTAATGAAGTTCAAAAATTATTAGCTGCAGCTTATAGACCTGGACATGGAAGGAAACATGGATTTAATGAATGAAGTGAAAAAGTTTAATTCTGATTTAGAGTTTTGCTTTTCAACTTCTGTGGTTTGAGGGATTGAAGCTTCAAAAAAATATTTCATAACGAAATTCTAGTTGTTTGTAAAAATAGACATGACACAAATGCAAAAGAGATTTTTAGTCTGCATAAAATTTAAAAAAATTTTATGATATACAAACAGAGAAACTTATGATGAAAAAATAAAAACAATATCCATTGAGTTTTCTGTATCTGAAGATGTTGATCAGATGAATTAAATCATGATTGTAAGGATCAGTCACTAAATAAGTGTATAAAAATAGGTGATGACTCTAAAAAAGAGTTACATGATATGATTCTGTGTAACTCATTCAAGAAATAACAAAATTATAAAGAGAACAAATTAAAAGAAACACTTTTAAACAATGCCCTAGCAAACCTTAACCAAAGGTCAAGAAACATCTTTATCAGCAGATGTTTATCCAAAAATACTCAAACTTTGGATGAGTTTAGTGAAAAATATGGTGTTTTAAGAGAAAAAGCACAACAGCTAGCTAAACAAGCAACGAGTAAGGTAAAAACAACATATACAGTTAAAAATTTTAAAATTTGGTTTGCGTGTGTAGCTTTTTTGTATTTTTAACATTTTTTTCAGTATTCACTCTTGCACTGTTTAGTGATGTGTAATTAAAAAAATTATACAGGTATACCTCGCCTTACGTCGGTAATTGGTTGCAGGAGAATGACTTAAGTCGAATTTACTTGTCTCCGAATCTACTCGCCACTAGGCTAAACCATAAATTACCAATTCCCGTTCTGTATTTTATTTATTAATGCATTTTTAATAATATATGGTTAATAAGGATCTATTTTAAGCTTACAAACAAATAAATTTTAGTTTTTAATATAGTACAGAAAAAAGAAATTTAAATTTACGAATGCATGTACTATAAATACAGTATATACTTGTAAATGTATATATTATAATATGATTTTATGTGCTTTATAAACATTTTTCTAGTGATATTACGAATTCAATATTTGTGGCGGACAGACGTAAAGTCGAATAAAATGACTTAAACTTGATTTTTATTTTTCCATATACTTTTTTGACAAACGACATATAATCGGGAACGACGTAACTCGAAACGACGTAAGTTGAGGTATACCTGTATAAAGATTTGCTCATGTATACTGCATTAACATAGAAAGTATGTTACATCTTGTCTTACTCTAAGAAAAAAGTGAGCATTATATAACTGATCTCAAACTGTGTAATGGTCAGTTATGTTGATAAAGTAGCATATGAGGTCAGTGTTACCTCTGGTTTTCAGTATGATAAGGAGCATGTAGTTTTTAATATTGATAAAAAAGTTAAATACATATTACCCATAATAAAGGGAAATTTTGTGTGGGCAGGGCACACAAAACACACCAAGAGCTAATTCTCAAAATGAAACAAGGATTATCAATAGTGGTCAATGGAAAAACAAATGCAGCAACTACTGACGATTCTGTACTTGCTTTTCAAAAGCCAGATTGAAAAATACATGATTTGTGCGACACAAAGTAAACTATTTTTGCATCTGTTCTGCACTGAATGGAAATGATTTCTCATACAAACACTGAGTCAGAATCTCAATGCCTTTGTTGATTTCCTTTTCAGTGATGATTAATGGTGACAAAATTCTTACAACATTATCTGACATTACTCCAACAATGAGTAAACCATGATAACTTAGCTCTTCTACAAACTTCTGGTTATTCATTTTCACTTTTATTCCAAATATTAGTCCCTTTCCTATTACTTCTTCTATCATTGGAAATTTACTTACTAGGTCTCCTAATTTATTTTTTAAACACTTGTCTCTAATCTCAACATTTTTCAAAAGATTAGTAAGTCATCAAATAATCATTGCCTACTGAAGCTGCAAGTAGCTTGCCACCAAAAGTGAATCCATACATGCTAAATGTTATGTACTTAGCAGCCTTTTCAGTTGAAACACAAGCCCCTAGCAGAAACCTTCCCTCTAATCCTTTTGCAAGAGCCCACATATCAGGCTCTACTCCTGTATGTTCATATGTAAATAATTTTCCTGTTCTACCAGCACCACATTGTACACAATGAAAATTGCAATATGTCATTTTCAACACAGCTTTCTTAACTATTTCATGAAAACTTCTTCCATTACTTTAACTTCACCTTGTTTCTGTATTGGTTCTATCAATATAATACCTACACTATTAGAAATTGTTTTTCTTATGCTCTCAATATTTGACTTGATGTTATCACACTAATCAATATAAGGATTCAGTAATTCAGAAAATTTCTGTTTATTGTTCACAACACAAATTAAAAAGGTTCTCCTATAAAATGCATTATGAATTCTATAAACCATCTAGAACTTCTTCAAATTTCTTAATTTTCTGTAATAGAGGTTCTCAACCAGGTTGAAATATGGTTCAAAATATGTGTCATGAGATAAATTTAAAAATTAAAGCAAAATATTTTAAAATTTATAAAAAATAACAATGTACTTTATTCATTATTAACTATAACTGATTTCAGAAGCATGTACCAGTCAATTATCGTAGAAAAGATATTATATGCAAACAGCAATTGTGTTCCATGTTTGATTTCAACACAAATCTTGAAAACTATATAAATGCTCAATGAGCTGTTATACAAGACAAGACTGATTTCTCTGTAACTTCCTTCTAATTAGCAACTTGTTTTAAAATTAATTTGCCATAATTCTAAATCATATCTAATCACTTAAAACATTGTTTATTTTTTGTTTTTAATCTCTTTCTAAATTATAGAAAAAGAGAAGAAATTTCCTTTATCAAGTAATTAAAGACAGAAAGTCATTTTTGGGCAATAAAAATGAAGTAAATTTGTGGTGCTAGTATTGAAAACTATTGCAGTTTCAGAAGAATATATACTGCAACTATTATTAAAACTTCTAAATGCTGAAAGGTTTTTGGAGGCCTCTCTGATATTTTTGTTCCAAGTCTGTAAGAGCTGATGATGAAATGTTTGGTCCTAAAAAACATTTAATCTCAAATAACTCTTGGAATCCTTCATTTATTTTAGCAATATATTATTCTTATTATCTCCTATGGAATCAGGTAATCTGCTGAAATGATTTTAACTATCTTATTCTGAGTTATTTAATGTAAATAAATCATAATTAGACATTAATTTTTAATGGCAGATTGATTACAGTGATCACTAACAACCATTTAATAATAAGCAAGTAATAAAAAAATAACTTAAACAGGAATTTGTGTGGCAAGAAACTGGCATATAAGTAAAATAAAATATACAAAAAATGCTTGTTTTTATTACAATTTCAACATTAAATGAAACAGTAGACCAACTTAAGAGAAAAAATGAGAGAGTACAATGTATAATAAAATACTGAAAAAAAAAATAGGGATTCCTGCTGGCATGACTAACCAACAATTAACAATAATAGTAACAAGAACAACACTTTGATAATTTAACTGAAAGTAATGACAATCAACAATTAAATATTATGTACCTTCAACAAGCTGTTCACTAGTCTTGCAATATCTAATAATAAAGTGCTACAACCTTTGTATGATTGTTTAAGTCTCACAAATCCAAAAAGGATAAGAACCACTGAACAATACAAATATAAAATTTCCCAAGAATCCCATATTTAATATAGATTTAATATTATATTCATGCCAAGTAATAGTAGTAGTAAAATACATTTTCACTGTGTACAGCATTATTAATAGTTTTTGAAAAGAAAGCTATTAATAATACCATACACAGTAAAAATTTATTTTACTACTAATCTCATATTTCCAGAAGGATTGCTATCTGTGTGTTAACAAACTAACAAAATTTTGTAAAATATTTGTTCAAATTACTTCCTTTGAATTTCTGTACAGTTATTTTTCTTGTTACTGATTTGTGCAGAGACATTACAATAAATAAAAAATAATAATTTCAATTATTTACAAAAATTAAATATATTTATATAGAAATAAAAATTTTAAATACTTTATAAAGTTCTACTAATTTATTTTGAGAACGAAGTTCCAATTGAAACTGCTCTTCTGACTGGATTTGCAATTCTTTGACTTCTTTGATTTGCTTTGCTAACTGTTCTAATCTTTTGTCTTTTTCTTCAACTACTTTCTTCATATCTTTCAGTTGCTTCTGTGTTGTCTGCAACTATTTTATGAAATTATATTAGATTACTATTCTAATATAAAAATTACAAATTTTAAATTATTCTTTACAAACAGATAAAACTTAAATACTTCTTGTTTTTGAATTCATACATATGTCTCAACTAATGCTATTTTTTAGTATTATGAAAGACAAGACCTGTGCACTTCTAATGAAAACTGTAAATAATTTCTTTAATTTTCATTATTACTAAAAAAACATTAATCTAGCAAATATTTATTCTAAACTCAATCTTAAAAGTATTACATTTATTTAAAATATTTATATACTTAACTGTTTCATAAAATATATTATTCACTTAAAATATTTTAAGAAAAATTTAATTTTCTGCAAAATTTTATATTTTTATATTTTTCCTATATAAAAACTAAATAAAAAATAGTAGGAATGTCTTCTCAATATCTATAATAAACAATTATTGCATATTGAAACAACATGATTCACTTTATCTTTTCAAACAAAATACTAGGCAATTATTGTGACATGGTCCCAATGCCAGGCTGCAATTTTTAATCATATTTTTAATTTATTTCATTTAAAATACATGCTCACCACCTTCAAATTAGTAATGTCTTGCCCCCCCATACATCACACTTTTCCTTTAACAATAAAGTCATGCTGGTCATCTATCTAACACCTTTCAAGAGAAAATTTTTTAATTTAAATAACGTGACTTCTGGTTTGCATCACACATTCTTATATAGTTAATTGGGGCCTACTTCCCCTAAGGTTTCCATATCTGGTCTCATCTTTTATCTATCTACCTCTGTTCCCGAGATTAAGAAAAGATGGATGGATTATGGTGAAAATTTGTCTACAATTTTTTTTTTCAAATTGCAGCCCAATAAACTACTAATATATTTTTATTATTTTTTCATTAAACAATTACCATGCTGTAATTTTTTCATTGTTACATCATTATTAAAATAATTTTTTAAAGGGGATCACACAATATGTAATATAAAATATTGATATAATAATACCATAAAAATAATTTTTGGTTTTAAGTCAATAGTTTTGAATCAAAATGTTAAACTTAAATACAGTACAACTCTGGTTATCTGAGCCCTGATTAACTGAGCTTCTGCATAATCCAAGGCAAATTTGTAAGTTAATATGCTATTTTTCTTACACTGTAATTCATAAAAAGAAAGTTCAAAACAATATATGTTCCAAAACAATATGTTTGTTACCTTTTATCATTTAACTTTAATGTAAGACAAACCATTCATATTAAAATATAACTACAATAATATATAATTTTAATTTTAAGACTATTTTACTTATTTATTAACTGTATGATGTAAAATTTTTTATTATATATGATTAAATTCACAAAGGCACAAAAAAAGGCTTAAAAATACTACCACATAAATTTTTATATAAATTCATAATTTTTAATCCAAAATGGCTGTGCCCATCCATTTTATCTGAGTTTTTGGTTATCCAAGAGACATCATTCATATTACCTTGAATAATCAGGGTTCTACCATAAATTTTAATTTTAACATATATTTCATACCAATAAAAAAAAATTTCTGAATTTATTTTGAAAATTATTTTATATTATATTTTATGTCTATTTCTTATGTTTTCATTATTTTTCTATTTAGCATTTTGTATATTTTATTATTTATTAGTTTTAGAGATCAAAGTCTATTTATGTTATATTTAAAAGAAAGTACTGTCACTGCAAGGCCCACCAGTGGCCGAGTGGTCTTCGTACCCTAAACACTGGGAGTTCGGTCGTGGGTTTGCGCCGCGATTGGACAGGCTGGCTGCTTGGAGTTTTCCAGGTTTTCTCCTTGCCAATAACGACTAAATAGGAGGCCAGTTCCCCATAAGAGTCCTCCCGGAAGGCATTAGTTCCCCTCGCGTAACATCGCGCCCTAGAGAAGGCAACGGGAAACCACTCTGGGTACTAACTTTCCCTAGTAACACCTTGGCGTATTTACTAACTACTTACTAATCTGCGCCGGGTGTGGCTGAGGTCAGGAAAACCTGATATGGCACTATGAGATGAGACTGTCATTGCATTCCCTAAAGGATTGCCAAGAAAAGAGTGGCTTTCCTGTGCCCAACATCCTGCAAGCTTCAGTCCTCTGCAGAACATCATATGGGCAAAGCATAGCACACCAGGAACACTCACCCAAACTCACTCTGGGATCTGTTGAAATCATGCATACAGTACACCCATACCTGACAATCTTGCACCATTCTTGGTGAAGTCAGTAAACAAAAAGTTTGACTTCAACCTTTTCTTTTTTTAAAATGTTAGACTATGATTCCTTTTATAAGAAAGACACTGCTAAGCATCCAAATATTTTTATTGAAAATATTTCTGTAAAATGTACTAAAATTTATGGAGAGAATAAAAAAATAGATATAAATAATTCATCTTGGCAAAGCTTTTGAGTACATATAGAAACATTCTATATCTTACTCAGCCAAAAGAATTCTTCTTTTATTAGTTAATTATCAAAAACTGATTTAATCATTTTAAAGATAAAATTAAATTCTTTCAATGTGGTTACTATGAGAAGAGTTAATTTCCTATCAATAATTGACTAAACTTGAGTATATAGTAGAATTTTCAAATATAAAATTTGGAAAAAAAATCAGTCATGTTGAACTGATGCATATAATCACACATCTAAACTTAAAACCAATTAATAATTGGTTTAAGTTTGGATGTGTGATTATATGCACAATCCTTATACACATTTTTCAGTTTTCCCTGCCTTAGTTTGCTGCAAATTCTAATTTTGGTTTAATTTTTCATTGTTTTTCTACTGACTGTTTTAAGACCTGCAATAAAAATAATAAATAACTCTCAAACAATAGAAAGACAGTGAAAAATTAATGTCAAAAAAACTGATATCAAAAGAAAAACATCTGGCATGTAAAAAATATTGCACCAAGTAAAAATCATGGCACCTGAAATGAAGTCAAATTTTTTCTTCAGAGTTTCTCTTTGGTAAAGGTAAATTTAGTGTTTGGAAGTTATACCATAAGCATTTTATTATTTGTTTCTGCACTTTGTGTTTTTGATTTAGTAACATGGTGAAGCTTTCGAAAACCAATTTCAAAGACATTTGTTGTTTTTCTCATACATTGAAAGTCATCAAGATGAATGAATGGTAGCATTCTAAACTGTCACTATGAAAGATGCAGGATCAAATCCCAGTTGAGACTGTTGAAAAAAATTTTCCACACAGAATTCAATTCTGGACCATTCTCCATCCTACACCCACACTGCACCACTGACTAAATAGATTCAATTCCTAAACACTGGTAGATGGTTTGGGTTTGCACTTGAGTTAGTTTCTCTTATGTGCAGGGAATGTGCATTCCATGAAGAGTTAGGCCTCCTGGAAGGCACATTCTGATTCGTAGATTAGCCTCGTGTCGCAAACCAATCAATCAATACACACACGATCAAAAAAATCATTTGCTTTTTGAGTTGCTCATATGCTACTTAGTTTTAATTTTTTTGCATAGCATACAAGCTACTCAAAAAGTAATAAAATATACAGATTAAGACATTTTTAACAAATGCAAAGTCAGTCGAGTGTTGTGGTGTTTCATAATTTTTGGTTAGGTAATAGCAAAAACATACCAAGCCTGGCATATGTTAAATAGAAGATACTACCCTCTAGGCAATGTTCATTTAAATTAATAAAAGCTATTTTCTGAACGTATAGAGCATGTCACATGTGATATGCATAAAAACTTTGGTGTGAATTGACTTATATAGATGATTATGTTTTGGATATCTAAATTAATCAAAGTGTCTGTTTTCTAACAACAGATTTCTTTAGAAACTAATTAAAAAGTATTTTCATACTTCACATTTTACCAGTGGTAAAATTCAAGATCAGAGTTGCTGGAGAAATTCTACCGATTCTGCCCTAAAACATCCAATTACACAACACTGCAATGAACATTCTAGAGGTATATACAGTTTCCAATAACGATGCTAGGGTTGCTCATATTTTATTCTACATTGCTACTATATCTTAAGATCTCTTCAAGCACAATTGAAAGAACACAAATATAATATACAGAAATCACAATCCTTTTCAGGACTAATTGAAGACCAGGGCTGAAAAACCTCGATCTTCAATTAGTATTAGTCAAAGTAGTATTTTTATACTATTTTGACTAATTAAAGACGAGTGTATAAAAGGTGTTATGCTACAATCATTCAAAACCTGATTATCTGTATGGATAAAGATGTAATAAATCCATTTTTCACATGCCATCATTGACTATCTCAGAAATTAAATGACACTGTAATATTCCTTGTGACACAATATTTCATAAATACAGGGTGTTTATAAATAAATGGTGCAGTTTTAAAACTTAATAATAAATCTATTTATTACCTTATATGAGCAAACCTTACAGCATAAGCAGTGGCAACTGTCCAAGTTTACAAGAATGTATGCAAGCTTCTTAATTGTGTTCTTCACCAACACTGGAGTGGACATGGTGCAACAGCAGATAACAACAGGAGAGCAACAACCTGCTACCCTGGCCATCCCATTCACCAGATTTAACACCCTGCAATTTCTTTTTGTGATGGTTTGTTAAAGACCGAGTTTATGTACCATCAATGCCCGTGTCCCTTGAGGAACTGTGTGATCAGATAAAGCATGCGCTGCAGGCCATCATGGAGGACATGCTACACTGTGTATGGGAAGAATTTGATTACCATGTAGATGTGTGTCATGTGACCATGGGTATACGTATTGAATGATTGTGATTAATGCATAAAAAACTTGGACAGTTGCTACTGCTTATGCTGTAAGGTTTGCCCATATAAGGTAATAAATAGATTTATTGTTAATTTTTAAAACCGCACCATTCATTTATAAATACCCTGTATATTTACACTAAAATAATTAAATAATGAAAACTTGATCACCAATTCATCCACTCATGTCTTCAATTGCTTCCTGACAAGATATAACTAGACAAAATAATATAAAAACAAACTTACATTCTAAAATGAATAGTATCTGGCAGTTTCAAAATTTGAACACTATGCAATATAATATGAATTTCCGTTTGTCAAGTGACTACTACATCTACCACATTTTTTTCAGTGTTTGATACTGTCCAACTATATTTGAAGGAGGTTGAATATAATTCATTCAACCTGCTTTCAAATATAATAAGTTCCTCTTCTAACATACATAAAATTAATTACAAATAAAAAATATATGAAAATTAGCATGTAATGCAAACAAAATGTTTATTTTTAACTAAAACTGCCTGATAAGGATAATCTATGAACAAAATGACTTAGATGTGGGCAACTAAATATGTCTATTAGCTGACTGTATTCTTAAAAATTCTTTTCCAAATTAATTAATTAATTAAATAAAATGCAGAAAACTTCCTCAAAACAGATTTATTGTAATAAAAGACCACAACACCGATGTGTTAATCATATATTACTCTATGTTGGCATAAAGTGTAAGTTTATTTATTTTTATTAATAAAAGACATATTTTCAATATTTAATTGAAAAGTAAATGTTCAAAATTTTTAATAATACAAAATATTTGAACTTAATATAGTATATATTAAGTTAATATTAAGTATATATATATATATTAAGTATAATATAGTGGGCGTTACGCTACTTTGTTATAAAATAATTACAAATTTTATATTTTAGATAATTTTATTAAAAAGAATATTTCAAAGATTTTTAATTCTTACTTCATCTCTTGTCTGTTCTAATTCAGATTGCAATTCCAAAACAAAACCTGATTTTTCACGTCTCAAAGATAATATTTCTTGACCTTTCTGAACAGTATCTTCATTCAGAGAAGATATTTGTTCGTTTAATAATTCCTTTTCTTGTTGCAATCTTTTGACCTGATGCTAAAGAAAGCCATCATAATATTTAATAATCTGACAATAAAGCTTATTTAAAAATATTAAATAGAAAATTTTATAATATATTTAAAATTTAATATGTAATTAACCACATAAATAATACAGTACTAATGCATACATAAATAAAAATGTTATTTTATAACTTTAAAACACATAAATACATATATATTGTATAGAGAGAGAGATAAATATTAAAAAATTTTATATTAGTTGATAAATACATTAAAAAACAAACACTTGCATAAAAGGAATGAAATTAACAAATACATTTTATTTAGAATATTTTACTTATTAATTTTTATTAAATAAACAGACAGTTTTTATATGGACAAGTAATGAAGCTATTGAATAAAAACATGAATATTTTGTTATTAACTTTATAGACTTAAAAATTTTATATCAACATTTAATGAACTCAAAATATATTTTTAAAATAATCAGCATTTACTCAAAACAAACATTTTTTATGCAGTCAACAAAACTTTTCAGCAATGTTTATTATAGTGATTACAGTGATTACAGTAAAGCCTCGAAAACTCGGCCTAATGTGGACCGAAGGGTGGCCTAGTTTGTGAAAATGCCGGATTATCGGGAATGGGGTTAAAAAAGGATAAGTATGCGTGTTTCCTCAGAAAATATTGTAATGTACTTGTATGTATTGTTTGCTTGAGAATACAACAGAGAATAAACTGCCCAAATACCCTTAAACAAAGGAAAAGTACGTCCTTTATAAAGGCATAGAGCCTTTGCTACATGAAAATGAAAATTAATGAATACACTGTGTACAGTAATTTACCTGATAAGACAGACCTCAGAAAAATACTTTACAAGAGCTTTTATACTTTTATAAAGCTGTCTATAATGAAAATTAATTAACTAAGGATTTTTTTGTCCTGCCAAGGTGTGGCCAAGTTATCTGGAGTGCCAGGTTATCGAGTGCCGAGTTTTCGAGGCTCTACTGTATTAACACTTGCAATTTCTGAATTAAACTGTAACTTTCAATCACAGTAGAGCATCGTTTATCCGAAAGTCAGTTATCCGAAAGCATTCCAGTCGGCAAAATTAAATTTTCGCTAGTGCTGTGGCGCTGCAATCTTTGGCTATATCTTGGGCTACTCCAATATTTTTTTTGTTGGTGTGTATGTTTTAGCTGGCAGCACTGTCACTTTTGTGTGGTGTTTTTCTGAGGACTGTGTGTCAGGCTGAATCAAACGTTTTTGATACTAGATTAACATTTAAAGTATAATCTTTTTTGTTTTTATATTTTTCAAAATATTTATTTTGTTTGTACAAAATAAAGAAATAATTTTTAACGATACAATAGCCACGATTATTATTTTAAAAAGTTTACGTTAGGCTTAACATCAACGAAAATTCAACGCAAAGCAACACGCAACGGAGAAAAATTTCAACATGGGATAGGTTAATATATTTTTTCATACATAATTGGTTATCTGAAAAATAAGTTATCCGATCAATCCCAGTCCTCAATTGATTTGGATAAACGACGTTCTACTGTATTTTAATAATTATAAAATATAAACAATTTTATTTAAGTTTAATTGATTTTTAATTTTATTTCAGAGTTACAGTCTCCTATATTTATACAGAAATTCGAGCTCTACAATACTTATATGATTTAGCTTACCTATTACCTCTTCTAATTATCATTTCAATTAACAATGTGATAAAACAGTGCAAGACAAACTACAATAAACCCTTCTTAAAATGAAGGAAAGGGAGTTTCATCAAAACTTCTAAAATTTTGATAAATAAATTGGATATATTCTATCCAATTTACTTATGAAAATTTTAGAATTTTTGAATGGTGATATTTTCAACTTCTGGTACTGGCCAGAAATGAGCTATCCAGGCCAAAAGTCAAATGTTTTAAATGGAACATAGTGTTTTTTAATTTAGATTCAGATTAACCTCTTAACATGCAGACTTGAAACAACTCAGACAGAAATGAGTAGCCCCAAGATAACTTGGGCAGCACCAGATTTAATGTTACATAATATACATGCTCAAATAAACACAGATAATGAAAAATAATCTCAAGAAAATCATGATTGTGTAAAGTTATTTTTCATATTTGCAACTAAGTTGAAAAAATTTTGTAACTTGTAAGAAGACTTACTGTACATATTGACATGTATTATATTAAAATATATAAATGTAATGTATATATAAGTAACATATATGAATTCAACAATCAGTTTCATAAGAATCATTGTATAACGATGCAAAAGAAGGTAAAATTGTTTTTGATTGATTCCTTTCTAGTTTGGCTTCATATGTGTTCCAATGATTTCTATAGATAAAATATAACTGGTATTTTTGGATGTTTCTGTCAAGCAAAGTATGTGTTATGGCACATTTTTCTTCTAGAAAAGTGCTGAATCATCACATGTTTCTTTCAAGAAAAACCTGCGTTAAGTTGTTAAATTCAAAAATCAGAATTTTGTAGCAAATATTTTTTTTAAAGCCTTCACTGTTATAAAATGATTTTGAAAGTGTGATAAATGGAGAAAAATGATACTGTAAAAGTAAAAAAGATAATAAAAATGTTGATACAATAATAATATATACCTGATGCTCAACTAACAAAAATTGTTACTACTGCTGCACAGTATTTTTGTCTGTGTAAACTCTTTTGGCAAAACCTATATAGCATTGATTTTAACTATTGTTCAATCAAAATGTTCAGTGAGTACTGTTTTCATCAATGCAAGCATCTATTCTGCTTGGGAGCATTTTGTTGCTCAAAGGAGGTTTACCCCTCCCCTCTCTTTATGTCATACACCCCAACTCTTCACATGTGTTCAGCAACCCCCAGTGTTTTATCACAGCAGTTTGCTTGCCTGACGATGCCCGTTTAATACAGGAAAAAATGTCCGCACTTCGTGTTAATTTTCTCGCTGATATCTTACATATATGTAAAGTTCATTTTTTTTTTATCTAATAATAACCAGTTGTTAAGTAGCAGTTGTCAGAATACCAATTGTTGTTTAAATTACAAAATGGTTAAAATAATAACTGTTGTTCTTTTAAAAATAAAATAAAGAAACAGTAATTATTTTATGCTATAAAAAGCATGTACAATTTATATACAATATAAATTATACAAGTTTTTTTATTATTATATAAAAATAGATTAATAAATAAATTAATTTCTCTACTTTATCTACCAGTATTTCAAAATAAAAAGGCTTTAAATTAGTGTTGCGCCGAATATTCGGCCAAACTATTCGGCTTGATTAACATACGTACGAAAATTGGCGCGCAAACTGCATTATGTCAAGGACCCTATTCTCTATTGGCCCGCTGTCGCGCTTCGCCAATCGCGTTAATTCTTGACAGTTGTAGTGGACAGACAACAGTGTCATGGAAGTATGTGATAAATTATGATATCAAATGTGGATAACAATGAAATGACCTACACGTGTAAATAACGGAAAAAGAACAGAGAAGGACCGCGAAGTGAAAATGTGAAAATAAATATGAAATTGAGTGGATAACATAAACAAGTCAAGGCAGCTTATTGGCACAAAATTCGCAGTCGTCAATGCCAAACAATTGCTGTCATAGACTTTGGAAAGCTAAATACTTGTAATGAAAGTCACTTAGCGTGCACGGGTAAAAGCCTGGGGCCGTTCAGGCTACCAAGTTGTCTCGAATCTGTGAAATAATAACTGTGACTTATACCGATGTCTTATCTGTCTCTTTTCTCCATTATCACCAGGCTGAGTCACATAATTGTAAAATGGGAAATCTACGACAGAAAAGTGACAAATCGAAAGTATCGTGTGCGCGTATTATGATGTATGCATAGGTATACATGGATTAGAGCGATAGAGGAAAGAGAAAGGGAAGAGCAAAGACGAGCACTTAAAAAGGATAGGCAGGGTCAGACCCTCAGATGTGCGAGGATTCTCCAACAATAGGCGTGTATGTGTGCTGATCTTTGTAATTATAAATTGTGAATACATGTGACTAATATTATTTTTTTGTTTTTTATTTTGTGCATGTTACAAGTTATAAATAAATATGAACAAACAACACTAACTCAATAACATTAAATCTAAATACCAAAATGATTAATTTACTGTGTTTTTGTTATTTATTACTCCTGTTTTTAGGTATTCGACAGAATAGTGATTAAATATTCGGTATTTGGCCGAATAGACCGAATACTGAATAGTAACCGTATATTTGTTACATCACTACTTTAAATATAACTTGCTTAAATAAAACACTGTGATTACTTATCTTAGAATCATATTTCAAATATGAAAAAAAACTTTCGTATATCATTAAAACTGAAGTTTTGTTATCATCAACATACATCTTTCTATATTATATATATTTTATTTCTATTAAGAGAACACTGTATACTTAGTTTATACAGCTTGGGTTACAGATGTCTATTTATCATACTGGCAAATGATATATATATATATACACTCATAGTCAAACCTGTTTTTGAATGCCAAACTCATATTTGCCCCAACTGCCGTACAATAACTTGGTTGCTGAACAAGTTACTCAGCTAAAGCCAGCCACAGATGATCAACTCCCTATACTTCCCATGTTAAAGAACAGCCCAAACAATCAGTGATAATGCTACCAATTCAGAAGTTAGTGGTGTCAAAATTGCCTGACATCATTAAACATCACAACACAAATTGTCAATGACATTGTATTTAAATTAGATTTCAAGGTGCTTGAGGGAAAGATACTATTTCCATTTTTTGGTATGTGTCACAGCTGAATCAAAATCAAATTAATTAATAAAAACCACATTGACACTCACATAAATGACATCCAAGAATTTGTGTTTAAATACGTTTAGGTGAATTAAATGACAAAAATTTATTAATATAATATTATATATTATAAAATTAATATTAATATTGCCACAGTTCACTTTTCCCAACCATGTTTCATGGCACAGTGGTTAGCATCTCCGCCTATGAATCAAAAGGTCTCTGGTTCGAACCTGTTTGATGGGGAAATTTTGAAATTAATTTTTTTGTCTTGTACTGCAGGCTGCACTGTTGATGAATATGGGTGAATAAACATCCCTTTATGATTACCACAGACTTGTCATTGCAGTTCACCATTCATCTATGCGATAATATTTATTAATACTAGGTTACCAGTTAATTAAAACTAAAAATAAAATAATAAATCATTTCAGAAAGTGTGGATAAAGTGCTTGTCTGTTTTGATTGATTTGGTTATATTTCATCAGCCAGTCAGGCAGTTGAATTTCTATTTACCACACTTCTTTGTAAAGTGTTGTTAGTTTTGGTTTTTTTAAATAACTTTTTGAAAATTTGAATTTTTTAATGAAATTTTTAGCAAAGATAGAACATGAAAAAGGAAATTAATGAAAGATATTTTTGAAATGTCTGCCCTCTGTCGAGCTGCAGTAGCACAGTCTCTCTTGGAAATTAGCAATCACATTACTACAGGTCTGATCTGAGATGCCCTTCATGATGCTCTCGATGCTTTCTCTCATCTGACTGAGGGTGGTAGGGTTATTCTTGAACACCTGACCCTTGATGTATCCCCAAAGAAAGTCTAGTGTACTCAAATCAGGGCTGTAAGGTCAAATGTTTTGAAGCAACATGCATTTGTGATAGAAGCAATTCCTTTTTGCTCAAAGCGTCACCTACAAAAAATTGAGACTAAAAACTGTGCGGTTCAAAAGTTATTCAAAAGAACTTTGTGGAGAGGCTATGAAACACCCTGTATATATATGAATTAAAAGCAAAATATTACATCACTGCCAATCTATATTTATATCTATATATAGATAATTTTATATAATGTATATTATATTGCATTTGTAGGCATTTTTATGCATGAAATACAGCTAAAAAGGTAAAAAAAAAAAACTGTTTTGGGGATCAGAAACAAATTAATCCATTTTATATTGTTTCTTATGGAAAATTTGTCTTGGTTTTAGAACAACTTTTAGGAATGAATTAAATTGAGAAACCGAGGTTTGACTTTACTTACTATGGAATCAAAATTTTATTTAACTACAGTAGAGCATCAATTATCCGAATACCAATCAACCGAAACATTGGTTAACTGAAAGAATTCCAGTCGGCAAATTCAAATTTCTGCTAGGGGAAGAGTGGATTGCAGCATTCTTCCCCTCCCTGCCAAACTCAACTGTAGGCCTAGTTTAATGTATTACATTATGTAAAGTATGAATTTGTAAAATGTGTGATAAAATTTACATATAGTACAGTTTTGTGTTTAATGTATTTTTTTGTAAATGATCAGTTATCTGAACAACCCCAGTCCCGAACTGTTTCAGATAATCGATGCTCTACTGTATCTCTAAACTCTTATATGATCTAAATATCTAATTTTATATTTTTGATAATCAATATTTTAATCAAAAATCAAAAAATATTAATAATTTTATTAATGTTGTTTGATTTTTGAGAAGACGACTTATTTTTAAACTGTAAAGGCTTTTTAAGTTTACCTCTAAATTAACTTCGTGCAATTGTATTTCTTCAATTTTAATTAATGCTTCATATTTATTTTCATTAGCATTTGTCAAAGAATCTGTTAAATGCTTTACCTCATCTAAAATTATATTAAAAAAAAATGAATACTTATCATATATCATTTTTAAATCCAAGAAATGAAACATAATTATTATAATTTCAATGCATTGACTTTTCAAATGCATTGAAAAGACAAATGTTACGGCCAAAGTGGGAAGTCTCCAGCCAAATCGGAAAATGGTCAAAGTCACTGTAAATTGACCAATGTCTGATCTTTTCTTAATTTTGAGATTTGGCCAGCTAGTTTGCAAAATGGCATGGGGCAATCAGCCAAAGTCAGAAGAAAAAGTCATGAGCAGATTTTAGTGGGTCTGTATAATTTCATACTTTATAGAGATTATTAATTATAAATTATCAAATTCAATTATGTGTTAAGCTTATTTATTAATCATAGTAAATTATCAATCTCTACCACACTTGTTATGACAAGATTAACTGTTATGACATTTCAAATTACACACTATTTGTTATTTTAACATTTGCAGCGATTTGTTGCGCACTTAATAGTGCAATTGCATCGAGTGTAACCTTGGCCACCTGTCAGTGATTGGGGAGATGCAACAGTTCGTAGTAACTATTCTTCTGCACCCACAGATTCCAGTGTAAGCAGTTTCTTGAACAGAATGAAAAACTCACTTCTGGAATACAGTTGTGTGAAACTCCAGAAGTGAACCAGAACCATATTCATAAATAAATTTTGTTTTTTCTTCTTGAAAAAAGGGAGAAAGAGGAAATTTTTTTATTTTGTAAAACTGATAAGAAAAGAAAGATAAAAATTTATGTCCATAAAAGGACATGTTTAAAAGTAATCCTTAGAAAAGTGAACTTCTGAAATTAAAACAATAAAATGATGTAAGTTCCAAGATCGACCATCTTTGATTGGATCGAATGGACAAGTGGCGTTGACTAATCCTACAATCTGGGTTCCAATACATTACACTAGGTAACGAGTGAAGATTAATTAGAAAGCAAAGGTGAGGAGGATTGACCAATCGAAATGATCAATCTGGAACCTAAAAAAGTTTATAAAAATGACCAATTCAATGATATAATTCAATGACTTCTCTGCTGGATTTTCATACTGTGTGGTATCCTCAGCAGTGAAAATATTCTCCGTTTCTCCGCCGTTTAAACAACACACATATCTCTCAACACAAAGTATTTCATAACTGCATCCCTGGGCAGTCCAGTTGTCCAACTGATCAGCCACTTCACCGTCATCCACATATTCCCATCATACCATTCTCGAACAGAAAATACTGTTTTTATAAGCATAATTTATACAATAAATCGGGAAAATTGATTAAAACTGAAGAGAGTTGTCTCTGTCATCAACACTCCCACATACACTTTGGCACTGCTCAGATATCCTGTCATTACGTGCAGTTTAGCAACCTCACAGTTATTTGAGACCACCACCACACCAGAAGAAAAAAATGTGCTGCCTACCAGACAGTCTCACATCGACATTGAATTTTGGCCAGGGATTACCCACCCCTTCGCAAAATGGCTGGCCAAAGTAGCATATGCACTGGTCATTTCAAGTACTGTACATAGGATCTTGGCCATACTTCACTGCCAAAGTACAAAATGGCCAGCCAATTCAGGAACTGGCTGGCCTTCAGGCTTTGGCCGTAACACACACAAATATAATTCAAAAGAAACTATAAAATAATAAATGTTATTTGATTAGTTAATTAATTAATGTTATAAAAGTAATATTTTTTATAACAATATTCATACTAAATATTTAAAATTTTTTACATTTTTCAAAATAATTCTAAAAAATTTTTCATTTTTTATTCATTTAAAACATTTAGATTTTGCTTAATTAAACAAACCATTAAGTTTATTAATATCATTTCTTCTTTTCTCTAATTGTTGAACTAATTCTCCATTTTCTTCTAAATATTTTTCATTTTTCTTCTTAAGAGCTTCCTATCAAAGAAAATCATTCATTTATTATATAATGTGGATTTATTTTTTGTAAAAAAATGAAAATTGAAATTCTCATATTATTATCTAACATATAAAATATATTTTAACTTGATAAAAGTTATGTTTTAAGTTTTAGAATTAAAATTATTTACTATAGTACTCTGTGAGGACATGACATTAGAAAAGATAACTGACCAACAGGTATTAAAGTAGATAGAATGTTTTTTGCTAATGTTTCTTTCTAAATTATATTTTTTCTAACTTTGTCTACTTTTATTCCTATCAAACAAGCATCTCTTCTATGTTCAAGATGCAAAAACTATTGATATCACATTTAAAATCTGTAACTTAAATTAATGTTATTCAGTTGTTTGTTACCGAGTTTTATTTCAGACTAATTTTATTTGTTCTTATGTAACATTTCTAATGTTCTAAATATTTAAATACCACTGATGTTGTTGTACATATTGACAAGCGTCTAGAGCAATGGTCAGCAACCAGTGGTCCGCGAGAAAATTTGGGTGATCCGTGGAGAAATTTGAACATTGATCAACTGAAGGTTATGCGAGGTATTATGAAAGAAATGCAAAATGCTTAGTTGCTTTTTTCACTTATTGGGGTTTTTTATTCAAATCTAAAACCAAAAATGAAGTGACTGTTATCAATAAATAATGAACAATAAACAATATTGTAAGTGCAGTTGTCATCCTTTGTGGAAAAGCACAAAGAATCCATAAACTTGTTTCAAACAAGCAGCAATGAACTTTAGGCTTGCATTAATTTGTTATAATTAAACATGCGAGTTTCATATTAATATAGTAAAATTGGACTTTTATTATCATTATTCTACAGATTTTGTATCATTTAAAAAAATTTATGAAACGGATTCAAAAATTCAAAATTTTCGCAGGATTCAAAATTGTGACTTTAGTGGTCTGTGAGGTGAGAAAGGTTGCCAACCACTAGTCCAGAGCACTACTAGAATCTTAGTTCTAAATTATGCTGCTACAACAATCAGGCACCACTCATGGGAACTGGTTTTGTCAGTTTTGAGTCTTGTTGAACTCATCATACATTAAATAAAATGGAATGTAGTGAGTTTGGTTTAAAATATACCGGTACAATACTTGTGTTTTCTATTCATAATTATAAATTATAAATGCTTTGTTTGAAATTATTAGTTAAAAGTCAAAATAAAATAAATTTATGAATAGACATCCTGCTCCCAAATGAACTATTCTATTAAAAAATTAATATTGTGAGATTATCAGATGAAATTACAAATAAAATAAAACATAGGGAGACTTAAAATTTGATTTTTTCCCACTGAGAGAAGTGCTATTATTAGTAGTAATTGAATGTTCTGTAATATGCATAAGTATATAGCCTAAAAAACATTACTATTTGCATTAATTATAAATTCATTACTTATGTGACATATGCAACCATCATATTGTCTGAATATTATTTCGGAAAGGATAATTAGAGAAAAAGACAGGGTTCAAGAGTAATTAGAACAACCTCTCACTCAGCCAATTATAGGTGGAGAGGACATAATGTTTATTAGGGGGAACTACTTAGCATGTTTTTCTTTAATAAGAAAAGCATGCTAACTACAACTTTGCAATTTCTAAACGTTTATTTTCTAAACAAATTATAACATACTATATAATTGCAGTATAATTCCTTATATGCAGTATTTTTCAAAAAATTATTTAACATTAAATAGTAACATATTTAACATTCTTCCATCCCGTAAGGGCAGATAGAACCAAATCTCAAGATGTAATTTTTATAATAAATAAAATGTCAAGTTGGTATGGTATGGACATCATCCTATTGTTGTTATCCAGTTCTATCCCTGATAAACCATAAACTAATATAAAAAATGTCAATGTTGAAAAACTGGTATTATACTATACTACAATGCTATAGAAGTTTGATGTCATTTAGCCTCTATATTCATGATGTCATTTGCATTAATTTCCATTGAAGTAATATTTGAGATCTAATATTAAATAATGTTAGCAGAAAACAAATTACTACAAAAAATCTAGTTAAATAAATAAGAAAATACTAAATCAAATAATAAGCACAAATAATTAAATTTTAATATCATTAAATTCCAAGTATATAAATTAACAAGTTTACAATTCAAATATACATTTATCATTACTCAATAAGAAAAGTTTTCACATAAATATCAGAGTTGTCAAACACCTAGGATTTACAATAGTAAAATAAGATTTCATAAGAGCTTTGATTAAAGAAAACTTAAATGTTACATTCTTGCATAGAATTCTTAAAACTTCATTTAAGAATTCCAAGCAGAATGTTCCTCAGAATTCACTGAACTTAGGATATTCAAAGTAATGTGCTCTTGTTGTTCTGTGGAGGGTTTTGATAATGCTCTAGTAATTTTAAAATCCTTTCTCCTTTTCTTACTGGAAGTAAATCCACATTGAGGCTCAATGTTTTTCTTTTTTGATTTTTTCCTGTTTCATTAAAATTCTGTTTGTTAATAGTTGCTCTAATTGCCTCTAATGTCGGTTTATGGGTTTAAACAGTCTATCTAAACCTTCAAATTCCTCTACAAATTGTATATTTTCAACTATTTTTTTTTAATATTGTCGGGTTGACATAGTGCACTTTTCCTTTTTAACTCCACTTTCATATTTAATAAATTTGGTTCATCATTATTTATATTTTTGCTTAGGTGATCTAATAACACTTCTTTGTCTTTTTTCCTTTCATCATTATTCTCCCATATAACTTCTCCTTGCTGTCCTTCACACTGTTTTGAAACTGATTCAGCTCTAACTGGCAAACAAGGTGAATGTGTTTGCACATATTGAATTTGATAGCTGAATCAATGCGTGTGCATGTGTACATATGAATACAAGATCTACACTCATTACATACTATTTGACATTCACAATTTTCTTTTACCATAGCAACTGTACAGATATTTGATCCATTTGATGAAGGAATTTTCCATATGTTATCCTCTTTTATAACAAGATCTTTGCATAAGCTTAAGCTAGTTTTGTGCCTTTTTCTTCAATCAGAAAGCTTGCTTGTTACTTTTTCTTTAAGCATGACAATGATTCTATCATACATCTTATCTCTTAAAAAAGTCATTAAAGCATGAATGGCTTTATCTAGGCACTTTACTCTCTTTCCTTGCAAATATATGTGTTTAATGCACTTATGCATATTCTCTATGTGCATATTTGTATTTAGGCCACAATGTAGTCTGTAGCAATAAGTCCAATATTTTGCAGTTTTCATATAGTTTTCTTTAAAATATTGTCCAAAATCAGTTGTTTCGGGATCATCAACCAACTTTATCACTGCTGCTGCTGAAATTAATTTAAATGTTTCTTCATCTGTTTTTTGCATTGGTGATTGTATGATTTTATACACTTCAGTCTTTTTCTCTTTAGACTTTATTTTACAGAGATTCTTGCATCATGCATGGCCAACATGCTACAAACAATATAATCTTTGATAAGGTTCCCCCATAACATGCACCCAAGCATTAAAAAATGAATCAGCCATATCTGACATAAATATGTTTGGTTGGTGACAAGGAGCTTACTTGTTCTTTAATCTTAGAAAAGATCTGTAATATCTTTTTATCAGTTCTGTTACTAAACAAAAAAGCACGAGGGAAACCTTGTCGCATATCATCAATTATCATCAGTGATTTAATTCAAAATCATAAGCACTAAGTCCACGAGTCCCATCAATACACATAGCATCATTTCCATATTTTTCTAACATAAAAGCTGACCATCATTCATAATAGCTAACGAAAAGTCAGATTCTGCTAAATGAAGATATTCTTCACATTTCATGCCTTGTGGTTTATAAAATACAAACTCATCACTGCCATCTCTGAATTCATTCACCCAAGTGTCTACACTTATCGAATCATCTGGATGTCTTACGGAATTTACTGACAATTGGAAACTACTCTCAATATTACATAAATCCTTTCTGGTTACTAAATGAAACCTTTGTAGCTCTTCAGGAGTTGATAGGCTGTCTCTGACATCCTCTATTATGGCACTGAAAGGTTTCTTCGAAGAAATTTTTGATGTTAATAAATTCCTGTCCTCCAATGACAAAACTGTGTGACACAGTTCATTTTGATGGCCTACGTGTTGCGGAGTGAATGTAACAACACACTTCTCGTCATCTTTTATCTTCACTATCATTTGGAATGGGCAGAATCCATCAATCTTTTTGATTCCTTGTATTTTTAAATGATGAATACCTTTTCCCTTACTTTTGAAATAACCAGATCTATGACAGTTATAATATATAGAACTATTAGACTTAATGTTCTTTTCTGAACCACTTATTATAATGTACAGTACTTAACGATATTTTCCACTTCATATTCTTAAAATCACTAAATGAATTATATGTCAGAATATTATTAATAATAAAAATGATATGTACCAGTATCTTGCTGAAATAAGGCAATATTTCTTCTTTTTTCTGAAATTCATTTAGACATAAATTACATTTAAATATTTTTAAAACTTTATCTTCACTAAAATCCTTCTTATGTTTTTCTGTCATATGTTTCCTTAAACTTTGTTTGTATTTATACGTCAAATGGCATATACAGCATTCCATTTTTTAATAAACACGGAACACTAAACTGAAACAAAGAGAAGACCACCACATGTACTGATGACTCGAAACAAAATCCAGTTCCTGTGAGTGGTAACTGATTGTCATAGCAAAATAATTTTGAACTAAGATTTTAGCAGTGCTCTAGAAGCTTGTGTATATATTACACTTTAAATAATACTTTCTGGTAGATGAGACATTTGAAATGCAAGCAACATTTGATGGAATTTGGAACACCTGAAATTTCATTTTAACTCTGAATATAGATGAAATGCATCCAAAAGCATTTAGATTATAGAAAATTTTATAAAACTCCAGAAGAAGCAGACAATTATTGTAATTTTATATAAAATTTATGGGTAAGTACATACTTATATGTTAAATTAATTACAAATTGGATTTAAATGGTAATTTGATTCTAAAATGTTCTGAAAGTGTGTTCTGCTTTCAAACATACATTGTAAAATATTTTCAAATACAACATTTTTTAAAAAATGGCCAGGAAAACAACTTGTAAAAAATTTGCAAAATTAAAAAAATAAAACATTACATAAATAAAATATCTTTACATCCTGTCCCTGTTGGACACCTCAAAATATTGTAAGTTCTTTCTTATTTTTAAAACTACATAAGTCTTCATACGTCATCATAGGTATAATTTCAAACTGTTGGTAAAGCAGTCAGTGTTTTATTGTCCGTGCCAAATTACATAAGCACTGATGCTAAAAAACTCCAATTTACTCAATATCATTTAATTTATCACCATTGGATAAATTGACATTTTCTGCTTCAAATTTGTTTAGACATCTGATAAGTCAACTACCCTTCTGGAGAAAAATGAATCCACACCACATATCTTAACATCACAACAGAATTGGGTTGTCTCATTCAATCATGCATGTACTGACTTGCAGCATGTTTTCACATTTCTGTTGGAAATGAGCATCCAAAAGCTAACAACAATTATGCTGAAAAAAAAAATATGATCTTGTATCTGAATTTGAATGCAGTAGAACTTCTCAAGCTGAATTTGTAAAATAAAAAGCTTCCAAGAACAACGTTTGGAATCTTATTGTTGGAATTAAGCTTATGGTACTGAAAAATCATAAATTTTTCCGAAATTATTCATTCGACAAGAATGCAGTAATAAAAGAGCAGCAGTAATGAAAAGGAAATAATTTTACCAAATAAACAGCGTTTATTTGGTAAAGTTCAAAGATTGTGTTATGAAGGCACTTTGTTGATCACTTTAACCTGTCCCGTGTTGTTCCTGAGTATTTTCGTGTTGACCTCATTTGACCTAACCCGTTGACCCCGAATATACACGTTTCTGCATCAGAACATTCTTTATACTAAATGTCGCTATGCATCATAATTTTTATTTTAAACAAACTTTCAAAATATAATTTATTTTGTTTTTATATTTTTCAATATATTTATTTTGTTTGTGAAAAATAAAAAAATAATTTTTAACAATACAGTAGCCATGATTATTATTTAAAAAAAAATTTTTCTTAGGCTTAACATCAACAAATATTCAACATGGTGACCACATGCAATGGAGAAAAATTTCAACATGGGATAGGTTAAAGTGTAGGAAGATATTCAGTTTTCTTGCATTTATGATGTAATTTATGATCTTAACAGCTTTGTGGTGGCTTTTTTAATAAATCATTTATTGAAAAAAGCAAAAATGTTCAAAAAGTTACACCTACTTATAACTACAAAGAAGACAAATCACTGTATTTTTATTAGTTGCTTAGATCATAAATGACATTATAAATGCAAAAATACTAAATACATTTCTTACCCCTTGAAATGGCTAGCAAATTGCATTCGTAACTGGACATTCAAACTCTCATTGCTTAAACAGACCTCCATCCACCCTTCTGTTCATAATAAGTTTCATTTTTCTTTTTCATTATTTTTGCTCAGGTTGTTTTTGACGAATTAATAATTAATCAACATTTATGCTTTGTTGTAACTTTTATGTTCCATTTAATTGAAGCATCCTATACAATATGTTAGAATTCAATTGAAATGTGATTTTTACAGCTGAAAAGATAAATAATACACTGTATATATATTTTAATTATATATGCTACATATACTTTTTGGTATTTTCACATTCCTAATGCAAGTTTGATATTTTCGTAATCCATCGTATTCTTCACTTTATAATGACCAGGTTTAAATACAACATGGCCACCGGCATGTGCCTCCGAATAATACACAATTCTAAATAACAGACAAACTTCTTGATTGTGTCCACTATTCAGAGGTTATACTGTATTACATCTGAAAGAAACTTAAGTCTGAAACAGATATTATACTGACCTTTTTTGCATGTTCCAGCAATGTCGATGTATACATCAAGCAAATGTTTTCAACCTCTTTTGGAGGCTATCATTAGGCTTCTATTAAAGATTTTTTAGCCAAACTTTTTAATCTGGAACACTTTTTGAAAGAAAAACGTTCTGGAACAACTCTATTTAAATTAAATAATTGTTTAATTAGCTTAATTCAAACATTTGCTTGATGTATATATTGTCATTGCTGGAAGCATTAGTATATCTATTTATAAATAGTTCCAGCTAGAAGGAATAAGTTTTTATGAAGTCTGAAATTTGGTGTCTGTAAAGTAGACCACAAAAAATGGTTGGCAACTAAGAAGACACTTGATGAAATTTTCTTGTAAAATGTCTATTAATTTGGGTGGTAAATATGTATAACTGTCCGTACTCATGTAATATTAATAGTTAGAGTTTGAATGTTATTCTCAATTGATTTTTTAAAAAGTACCAAAAATTTATTAAGAAATTATGACACGATTATTTACAATCAAAATTCATACATTAATTAATCTATTTTAAAGACTTTTAAACAATAGTACAGTAGAGCATCAATTATCCGACTCAATTGGGGACTCTGGTTGGTCAGATAACTGAAAAAATCGGATAACCGAAAATAATGAAAAAAATACATTATTAGTATAGTATATTAGTATATCCCATGTAATTAGTATATTAGTATATTGCTATTAATTAGTTAAATGTAATTAGTATATTAGTATATCGTTAACCTACTTTGTGTTGAATTTTCATCGATGTTAAACCTAACAAATTTTTTTTAAAAATAATAATCATCGCTATTGTATCATTAAAAATTATTTTTAAATTATTTTATTACTCACAAAACAAACAACCACTCATAATTAGAAAATTAAATCTTGTTTAAATACTGGCCTCCCTTTCATGGTTGAGCCAGCGTTGCCAGCTAAAACACGCAAAAATTGAACAAAAATTATATTAAAGTAGCCAAGACATAGCCAAATATTGTAGTGCCACATCACTAGCGGACATTTGAAATTTGCCAACTAGAACAGTCGGTTAACCAATGTGACGGTTAATCGGGGGTCGAATAATCAATGCTCTACTGTAGTAATTACATACAGTTTATTGAAACTTCAGCAATTAAATAATAATTCTCTACTAATCATTTACTTTAATAATAAATAATAACTATAGTCCATTTATTCTAACCTTGGGCACCTCTTCCTTGAGAAATAGTTCCCTCTAAAACTTTAAATTTGTAAGAAATGATATGTTTCTAAATTATTTAATCCTCAGTGGTAGTAATTAAAGGAATGAAACTTACAAATTGAGAAAAGAATATATATATTTAACATTTTTGTATTTTAATTAACTATGTTTTCAATGATTGGTTGAATAGCAATATGCTCCGCCTTCTTGTTCATTTTTCACAGTTAATATGGTTGACATTAGCATGCTACAAGAATGAGAAACTGCAGAAGGATATATTTTGTCCAGCAGTGAGAAAAGGCAACCAAATCTCTTCTCTTTTCCATGTACTAGGTTACAGTAAATGGACTATACTTTAATAAACTTCAATAAATCTTTTAAATCATTACCAGTTCTGTAACAGTAGAGTTATATGAACTTTGAGATTTCTGTAACTCATTTTGATTATTAGCAAGTTTCTCTTCTGAAAATAAAATTTTTTAAATACATATAAATAATTTAAATTTCAAAGACATTTAATTACATTGATTATATTTTTTAAAATTTATTTCTAAAAAGTTTGCTGAATAAACAATCAAGTCATTACAGAAATTTATACAGTTAAATTTAGTATAGAAATTATTTTCATGACAATAAAAATAAATACACACTTAATAATTCATGATAATATATTACAGTCTTATTACATTATCTTTCTAAAGAACAAGTTACATATATAAAAAAATATATATAACACAGTACTAATTTATTAAATAAAAACTTAATTAAAATATTGATATTAAACAATACAACTGAATTATTATAGAAGCAATTCTCCATAAAACAATACATTTTGTCAAAAGAAATCAATATATTTTAAAAACTGGGTAATTGTTAATATACCACTCACCAAATAAACCATCATCAGTTCATAATAAAACAGAAAAATTCTTTCACGATGACCGAGTTAACCGCTCATTAACATACATTGAAGCAACAGCCAGAGGTCTTGCCATGAAGATGAAAGAACATGAATACTCCATAACAAAAATGCTGACTACTACGGCATTAGCAACATATGCGAGTAATGAGGAAGTTCAGGTTGAATTACATAATGCTAAATTGTTACACAGAGAAGGCACAACTCAAGTAGTACAAGTACCTCAAATCGCTTGAGATCTATAGGGCAATTAAACAGGGAGTTGCTATTAACTTCAAGGAAACAGACACACTTTCCACAGCATGGCATTCCATTTTTGAACTAGATTCCAACAACAGAAACTCACATTAAGGATAGTTTAAATTACATCCTAATTTACGTGAAATTAATTGATTATCTATTCAGATATGCCTCAAATATTTTACATATGTTTAAATTTTAATGTAACGTATTCGAATTACATAATTAATCCAAACTTTTAAAAAACATTCTATTTTATGAGCCGTTTGTTCGATATTGTTTAAATACCTGAAGATAGACAGAATAAAGATATTTCACATAGACAAAAATGTTCATAGTAAGAATTTTTCTGTTTTGTTATGAACTGGAAAAGAAAGCAATCTAAAAATTTTGAATATTGGCAATGAAAAGATTATGCATTTAATATCTTGATAAAAAAAATTTAGCACAAGAACTTTTTCTTAATTTTAAAATATTACTATAATTTATACTTTTTTTATAAGTCTTAAGTCTACAGTTTCACTAAGATAATTGAAAGTAATATCTAATTTTTATTTCACCAACTTTAATGAATTAGTGAATTTGGTACTCTGAATTTTTAAACAAATATCAAGAAATCTTCAATGCATTGTCAAAAAGTGTCACTTTTACTGGTCTGGAATTTTCTCAAGTCTTGTTGCATTCATTTTATATAATATAATCAAATGCTTAATATTTTCACTATCAGATGTATAATAATAATGAAAGGTAGAGTGATAGATATCCTAAAGTAATGGCTGAGAAAAAGTTTTTATGTAAATGCAGTGAAGTCCCAACTGTTCAAGATGATAACCAAGGATATTTTGAATAATCAAAAACTCAGATAACATGAAATGTTTGATAATTTACAATGTTTTATACAAGTGTTTTTTCTTAGATGAAAATAAGCATTTCTAAAGCATAGTGTTTTAGTTATAAGTATATTAAAGCTTCATTTCACTCAAATTCTTAGTTTGTGACAAATGGAAATTTTTGATAGAGATGCTGGCAACATAACTTCTGAGTCTCTGTTTCAATGTTGACAGTTGTGTTACTAGGTTGCACAATGTTAGTTTGCAATTCTAGTATCTTCAAGATCAATAAATGAAATTGACAGTGAGAGTGAAGAAAGTAGCAATGAGGAATTACCAACATCCCCTGAAAAAATGATCCAGTCAGACACTTTTTAACTCAAACAGATTTAAATGATTTCATCTGTGACTTGGATTAAGTAAGCAAAACACTGAACTGCTAGGTTTCGGGTTACAGGAATACAATCTTCTCCAGCCAAATACAAACATTACTGAATTCAGGACAGTTGAGGCAGAAAGAATCACTACACCAAAAAGAATTGGCCTCAACAAAATTGGAAAGTGGGGAAAAAATACACAACATGAGAGTCTGATAGCTCATGGAGAAGTATTTTTTCCCCCTCTTTTCACATTAAGCTAGACCTTATTAAACAATTTGTGAAGGCCATGGATATAAATGGAAGAGAATTTGTTTGTCTTTCAAGCAAATTTCACATATAACAACATCTTTTATACTTATTCCAGCAACTTTATTTAGAATACAAACATTTTCGGTCACCTTTAGTGGCCCTCTTCAGGTTACGACCCGTTCCATTTATCAATCATTTAAAGGATAGAGAAACGTTCTATGGATATGATTTAAAAAAAACAAAAAAAATTAAATTCAAATTGTAGAATAAAGGCCACACATAATATTAAAATAAGAATAAATTTTACAATTAATACAGTGAATATTAAAATAAGAACAAATGTAAAAATAGTATGAATATATAAAATAATAATAATAATAAGTTAAAATATTATGCATTTTTTGCACTTTGCAAATTAATAACCTAGACGTTAGAAAACTCCCTTAATTTTATAGTTTACAGATATAATCATGTGAAATATAAGAACTATCGAAAATGTTGTCGGGAAAGGTGAAAGAGATTATGAATTACAGATATATATCCAATATTGCCAAGCCTGGACTAAGAATATATACTCATTGTTTATGAAATTTTCGTTTAATTTGGCTTTGTATATTTTTATGACTTCACTTATTCATAATTTTTCTATCAAAAATTACATTCACTAGCTTGGCTTCATTCCATTAGGTGGACACCCCAGATTCAGACATGTATTGGGTCAATGCTGTTACAAAATTTTGACATATCATATAATAGTAATATATCAAATAAAGTTGCTGGAATAAGTACAAAAGTTGTCATTGTGTGCATAAATAGATTAAACATTCCAGTTCAGTAGAAAGGTTACAAGCAAATTTCCTTATCTTTTACCGGCAGAAATAAAAGAAAGAAAGGTGTTTTTCTTGGACCTCAAATTAGAGAACTTCAACAAGATGCATAATTTGAAACAGGTCTAGCAGATAAAGGAAAAAAAAAGCATGGATGTTTTAAAAATGTAACTTCCTGGGAAGAAGAAAAGCTCAAAACAAACTACAAGGAATTGGTGACTCAGATAGTTAATGCATATCAAGATTTAGAATGCAATATATCTCTGAAAGTGCATTTCCTGGACTTGCATCTGGATTACTTTCCAGAGTTGCAGTGATGTAGCTGATGAACAGGGTAAAAATTTTTATAAATACATACTCACTCAGGTGAAGCAGTATAAAGAAAACTGAATGCCTCCCATGTTAACTGATTATTGTTGGAATGTTATTAGAGACAAGAAAGATAATCACCACAAATAAGATTTAACATTAAATAATTTCATTACCTAATTCCTTAATACGACTTTGCAATTGTTGACACTTTTCGGATTCTTCTTTGAATTTTAATTGATTTTCCAGCAGCTCTTTTTCCAATTGAAATTCCGATCTCTCTAGTAAATGTCAATATAATTAATTAATTCTTGAACCATATACATAAATAAATTATATATCTTAACTTTTAAAATGCACAAGTTTATTTTAGTAGAAAGCAGATTGAAATGAAAACAAAATAATCTAAGTACATTAAATTCTTTAATTTATAACTCTTTTCACATTTATAAAAAACAACTACTCACAGGAACAAACTAGTTCACTATTGATCATTTTTGAGACATTAACAGTGTGTCTTATTATCTTAAAGATCATAACTATTATCTAAGATATTATATTAATTTAATGTGCCAATCATATATTAAACTTTTAGTTGACATTCTTTTAATTTTAAGTTATTAGTGATGAGATTGTTGTAAAAGAAAGTAAAAATGATACAGAGTGCAGCATTAACAGTTTATTTTCACAAGCGCTTTCAACAAACATATTCATCGTCTTCAGGTGAACAAGACTTAAAATATAGAAGACAATATTATAATATAAATGGAATAAATATAATTTAAATCAAAATTAAAAGTCATTATGTGCATGATTAAAGTTTGCTTATGCAAGAATTTGAAACATCATGCAGTGCTTGTGTGAGCATACATCCACATTAAAGGTGTGATGGCACATACATATCACTATTTAGCCATTTATATAAGGCAACCCACACACTGGATAGGTCAAGTGTGGGTGTGTTACATGTCTACGGGAATGAAAAAGCCAATATGCCTCATCCCTTGCAAACACCTGTTGTTACTTTCCAGTTCTGAAATCCTGGGTCCACAGTGAACTTAATTCAATCATCACCTCCTGCTGGCAGAGAGAATGGGACAGCAGCCAGACAAGTAGGCTCACACATACCTTCCTGTCCAACATCAGATGCAAGAAGCTTATGGTACACTTCACTGCTCACTGCACATGGCGGTTTCAACACCTATTTAAGGAAATTTGTGAAAAAAAACTGATAGTCTATGTAGCTGTGAATCAAATGAAGAAGACCCTACCCATATCATTTTCACTTGCATAAAATTCACACAGCATTGCAGCAAATTTCGGAAAATTATCGAGAATAATGAACATCTTTGGCCCTGTGAGACCAGCACCCTGGTTGAAATCCCCAATATCTTCCATGGGTTTAAGGACTTTGTAAACCACCTAAACTTAGTGAACTATACTGTGACTGCCCATGTCAACACCCAATAATGACAATACCATTGTCATCTAGGCATCTCTTCACTAGTTCAACACCCGCCACCATTCCATCCGATTTCTCCAACTTCCTGGGTGGCCTCAATGGTATTTCTAAATCACTGTATTTTGAGCATACTAATTCTATTGTATATAACAATTATGTGCCTGTACTCTACACATGCACATTATGTACCTGTATCTCAATCAAATAATTGATCCCCGACAGATGCTCATAGTTCCCTCTTCTCTTCTCCTTTCTATCCTTTCCCCCCTTCTCTCTCCTTCTATCATACCCCCTTCCTTTTCTTAAAGGCTATACCATCGAGTTCAGCCTTTCTCCTTATTCTAATCATGTGTTACATGGCTCTAATGTTGTAAGAAGAGATTCCCATACAAAAACACATTTCCGATCACTGCAGCACCCGAGTAGCTTTGAGTCCATAACAGGTTATAGTTCTGTTCAAGCACATTTTTGGTGAGCTCTGTGGTAGGTTTACATCTTCCCGGTGCTCAGCTAGGCAGTTAGCAAGCATTTGTGTTGTAGCCCCAATGTACGTCATATTCACCCCGTTACAGAATTCACTAATGGCATAGCATAAACTCTCAAGTTTTCAAAGGTGGAGAGTTTATCCTGATAGTTACAGATGAGTATGCATAAATTCAGTAGTAGGAATAGGGGCAGGAGAAAGTTGTGTTACCTAAATATACAGCAAATGCATATGGCAGGGGGTCTAAGGTACAGCAATAGCAGTTGAACAATTGACACCTATCTCTTGTTATGCAGTGTTATGCTTGAAAATCGTGATTCCCTAACCATATTAAAAACAGGTGTAAACTTAGCATGAGAAAAAGCAACTATGCATACTGCCAAACCAATGGTGCTCAACTCAATGTTTACAAGCACTTGTGTTGACAGTAATAAGAATGCTCTTCTAATGAGAGTAGCAATAGAGGCATCAACATATCAAAAAGGATGGAAAGCAACAGAAGGAATGATGAGGCACCATATTAAACTTATAAAAATATAAAACAAAAGAAAAAAAAAACTATCAAAGATTCTTTATATAATGCTAGAGAGGTAAAAATACAAATCTATTCAAAATTGGCATTTTTTACTTTATTGTTCTCTATCTTGAATCATATGTAATTCCTGTTTCCCAGAGCTTCTAGTTAGAGAAGTTTTACTGTATATATCCATAAACATCTTTTAAAAATTAAACATATTGGTAAAATTAACATTCTCATTTAATTTTAATAACAATCAGAGCTTATCTGGTACATTTTTATGGACGGTTTTAACCAAAGTGAGTCAACATTAGTGAGACAGCCAATCTCCGAAATCATACAAATACAAAAGAATAAATTAAATCACTGTTTATTTCAGGGAGCAACATTTTTATTAAAAGAAAGAAATGTTTTCAGTCAAATATATTTGATCACCTGACTTAGAACTTGTCTAACTAAATGAAAAAAGTATCATTCTAAATTGTTAAGTAAGTTGTTCTAAGCCAAAGATAGTCATTTTTATTTGACCAAAAACATTCCCTTCTTTTAATAAAATAAGGAATAGATTAATTAATTAATTTATAAACACATTGCCAACTTTTATAAAATTTTATCAAAAAATATAGTTAACATTTCTCTCAATACGCCTTCTCTAGATATACTGCTATACAGAAATACAAGAATTACATATATTTGAGTTAGATTAAGTAATCCAATTTTCCAAATTAAAATATTTCTTAAGAATATATTTAATTTATAAAGAATAAATTCAAATAAATAAATAAATAAATGCATTAAATTTAAATATGTGTACAGTATATATAGACTTAAATTAAGGAAGTGTTTACTAATGGGTGTTCTTTTAATGAAAATTTTGTAAATGATTCATTTCTAATAGTTAGTAATCACTATAGCTGGGACATCCAGCCACTAAAAATCATAACTTGTTATATAATTTTTATAACTACTTACACAGTTTTTAGTGTCTAGATGTTGCAGCCTTAGCGATCACAAATATATATATATTTGCAATCACTACGTACGCATTCTATATACTACAGTACACGCAGTGGCGTAGCGTGGGCGTCAGCCGCCCGGTGCGGAGGAAAATTTCGCCGCCCCCTTATTTAGGTATCTCAATTTAAAAGACTAAAATTCAGTTTCGGCACAGAATAAGTAATGAAAAATTCCGTGCTCATTTCAATCGGTCCGAATTGTAGGTGTGACAAAAATATGAAATAAAACGGTTCAAATTTTTACAAGATATTATTATTATTTATTGTGAAATTTTGCCCCTGCCGCCCCATATGCCACGCCACCAGGTACACGCAACGATCTCGACAAGTTTTATATCAAACATGCAGTTTAAAAAGTTAAAAGCAAACACTTTCAAAACGTTCAAACGTTTCTTAGTTCGGCACGACGGGCCAAACCAAACTCCGTTCGAGCCCCAACGACACCGGGAACGGAGGAGGAGCCGGAAAGTCCGGATCTCGGCACCGAAACAAAATTTTTCGTCTCGATCCGGAAAGGCAAAGAACGGCACTTTCCGGATCCTCGGAATTCAAGCGTCCGGGCACAGAGGCAGAGGGGGCAACCCGCGGGCGCCCGAAGCATCCGAAAACAAGTTTCGTAGCACAGAGGAGTCGCCGACAGAAATACAGATCGAGAAAATACCAATTTTTTTATAACTTTTTTAGACATTTTATTTAAACAAACATTTTATAACAAAAAAATCTAACACGGCACGGTAAAATACTTAACGAAGTAACGTTAACGCTTTACGCAACCGAGAAACGTTTACCGAATCCAAAACGACCTACGAAAAGAACGACCGCGGTTAGGAACGGGCAAAGGAGAAATCGAAATTTACAAAAGGAAATTAATGGACGGTGGCACAAATGCCGGGGGATGCGGACGGACTACCTTCGGCACAAAAGAAAAATTACAATATAAAACTTCCTAATTTGCACCGACCATATATTTTGAAGCATTTATTTTATTTTTGTTATTTTGTTTATTTAATTGTTAATTTGTCTAATATTTCGTTTTAAATTTTAAATGTAAGAGTTCGGACGTGCCTTCGTTTAAAAGTTCCATTTTTGAAGAGGCATTCGAGTTTAATTACATCCGAAGACGACCTATTGTATTAGTCGAAAACGTTTGTGTTTTAGTTTTAATTAACATTTCTCGGCGGCGTTAAACTTTTTATAATATCAAAATAAATGTTATGCGATGGTTTTACAAGTAATTGTTTTTTATTTGTGACATAAAGCGATTAAGTTTACCTGCCGTGGCCTTAAGACTAGCATTTTCTTTCCGAAGTTCTTCTACGGTTTCGTGTTGAGACCTTAAATAAGATTCTAACGAGCTTTTAATAGAATCGGTTAGATTCTTAATATCGTTTTCTCCTAAAATGCTCTCCAGTTTAATCAACTCCGCCATTTATTTTAAACTTACGTAAAGTCAAAGCCCGCGAAAATACAGTAATTACAAAACATACAAACTCTTCCCCGACGAAAATTGTTGAAAAATCTGTAGTGCCATCTAGCGAATACACAATTTTAATTCCTTCGATTTTTTTTTCTTTCTGTAGAAAAAACTTTCTAAATTTGTATAAATTATAATTCATTTATTTTAAACGTAAAATATTTTTAAATAAAAGTTGAAAAAATTTTAAAGTTTTAAAATTTATTTTTCAAATTTTATAGATTTTTGCCGAGTAACTACGCCATGCTTTGGCTAGAAAGATCTTGAACTGTTTTCTTTATTCTGTTAGTGAGGAATGATTAACGGCGTACGTAGCCAGGATTTTCTGTTCAGGGTTTCATTCCTCAAATATTGTGTCGTCACCGACTTAACATCTTCGGCCTTCCGGCCGTCGATTTGATACCGGCAATAGGCTTCTATCGAAATTCGGAGGAGTTTAGCACCACCAGCCCCTCCCTGACTACGTATCTGCGTGATACTATACTATATTTAGTGACTTGAGCATTACGTTGAAACGTAATTAAAATCATAGAGAATAAACTGCGGAATCGATAAATAATCATTCCAAAATCCCATTTCCCGTTCGTATTTCTCCAAATCTATATTTATATCCTTCCGTCGTTCATTGCCATTCATTTTAAAGAGTACTAAATTAATCGATGTGATAAATAAATATTTTTCTAAGCAAACGCGTTATGATGTTTATGACGCGTGTTCGGCAACACATTGTAAAACGAATAGCTTATATTAAAGACGACGCTGGATGGCCGAGGCGGTTAAGTCGTCGGCCTAGACTCTGGAGTACCGGGAATCGAATCCGGAAGTTTTCGTTTAGTAAATGGTTCCTCGAATACACTGGTGTTAAATTAGTCTTGACGTCGAGATGTGTGAATTAATGGTAAATAGCAGTTGAGGTTTGGAAAGCATTTCGTACTTTTTGTTTGCTGACCTGCTGGCGTCGTCGCCTTTCTATCGCTTTTTCTTTTTCATTACTCTGTCTCTTCTCCTTATGGGCACTAACCGAGCAATTTTATTCATGTCCGTTGTGGATTCGCCCGAGTCCACGATGATGATAGACGGGACCCGAGACATTCTGGACTAACTGCCCACAAAACCTTCCCGGAGTAGTTCGATGCACCCGGATTCGATCCGGGTCCTCGGCGATTTTTATAATTGTACAGTACCTGTTAGAGATTCATAATGACTGCCATATGAACAAAAATATCGTTTGAATACAAAAGTTAATTTCCGTGTATTTAGAATGCCTATATATATATATATTTAAGATCTTTCCGTCTTGTGAATACAAAGAGAACTGTTTTGGCAAGTTTATTTAATTAACTCTTTCCGCCCTGTGGGCACTAAGAGGGCCTTTTTTTTGCAAGCCCATTATGGGTTCAGCCAGGCCCACAATGGGGCTGCCGGGTGGTGAGGGATGGGGCCCGACATATCCGAACGGACCACGCCCCGAAAGGTTCCTGGTGATTTTTCGACCCGTTCTGATTCGAACCCGGGTCCCCCAGAGCGATAGGCTGCCATTTTGACCGCTCGACCATCCGGCCGCCTTTGTAGATTAACTGTATGATATTCCGTCGACACTAACTGTCTCGCTCTCTTGTGGACATTACAATAGACAACAAGAAAGTAAATAGCCGAAAAGAAGCACCAACCACCGAGTCATGTACCGTAACTAGGTGGATATGGTAACGGCAAGCCACTGAATTTTTGAGGTAAATATGTGAAAACAGTGACAAATACAGTACCAAGAAGGTGGTGCTTATTTCCGCCATCAGTAGATCCGATTTTCGTCCACTAGGAGATATTAGGTTTATCGTATATTGTGTAGTCGTCCAAGGGCTGCATTCGATGTGTGCTGTGGAGAGGCGTACGATCAACACAAAATTTCGTCGTGCATAGTCAAATACCTCCGAGTTTCGCGTGTGCGAGTAATGTCCGTCTAACACGAGAAACACGGGATCCGTAGCTGTAAGTTTGGTGTGTGGGACAAAGTGTGTCATCTATTCGCAGAATAAATCAGCTTGCATTCATCCTAATGGATGGAATCCAGCGATTGCGCCCTGGGACGCAAAACAGCGATTCTCACGAACATGTTTCCCAGAAAACTGGGAAATACGAACACAAGAGAGATCGACGGATACGCTCATCTCTATTGTAATTGGCTTTCCTCTTTTGCTAGACAAAGATTTCTGGAGGACTCTCCTGCCGTTCGGCTCGATGACCCGCGAATTCTTTTTCGGACACAAGTTATTCCGCTCTCGTCGATGTTGAACGGTCGACTTGGATCGTGCCTCCCTTTGTCAAGTTCGGAATTGAGCAGATGTAAAAGTTGTTGCACTTTTTTCGCTATGAATCCTAGAAACTTTTCTTTCGAAAGCGACTGCGGGATTCTCGCGGACAGCTGCGGATGACGATTGAGGAAGTGTGTCAATCACTCGCGCCCAGTTTCTGCACGTTGTTTCGGCGCAGTTGGAATGCTATTCGCTTCACGTCGTTCGTAATCAGCTCAAAATAATTTTCTTCCAATNATTTTTAAATTTTTTTTTTGATAAAATAAATAATATTTGCGTATGGAACTAAAGAGCCGCAGCTTCACATCCAAAGAGCCGCATGTGGCTCGCGAGCCGCAGGTTGCCGACCCCTGCCCTAGGGTAGTCGTCAGAATTTTTTAACTTGTAAAGGGGTCGCGTATTCAAGAAGGTTGAAAAACACTGCTGTAAAATACGGGCGACGATTCGGGGAATGGAAACATCCGAAATGTTCTAGAAGATTGGTTTTACGATAAAAAAAAAAAGCTTAGTACCTGTTGTGGAAATCGAACCCGCGACACCGCCTTCCGGCGTCGATGCTACTATCACCTGCACCGCGGGGAATGCAAGCTTGACCATAGGCAATATTAGGAAACGCGCAACAAAGTTCGGAAGAACCATTCCGTCGTCTTCGGATCTCAATATAGTCAGTTTGCTCGTGAATATATGTCACCTTAATACGTCGTTGGGTACCGCGTTTTATCCCCTTCCACATCAGACCATCAGCTCGAGATGGACGATGCCATGGCAAACGTTTTTTTCCGTTTTCTAACTCGTCGTACCGCTCGATCACGACGTGCGTTTTACGAAATGGATCACTATCTTTGGTGTAGTCACGGTACAGTACNAATAATAATAATAATAAGTTAAAATATTATGCATTTTTTGCACTTTGCAAATTAATAACCTAGACGTTAGAAAACTCCCTTAATTTTATAGTTTACAGATATAATCATGTGAAATATAAGAACTATCGAAAATGTTGTCGGGAAAGGTGAAAGAGATTATGAATTACAGATATATATCCAATATTGCCAAGCCTGGACTAAGAATATATACTCATTGTTTATGAAATTTTCGTTTAATTTGGCTTTGTATATTTTTATGACTTCACTTATTCATAATTTTTCTATCAAAAATTACATTCACTAGCTTGGCTTCATTCCATTAGGTGGACACCCCAGATTCAGACATGTATTGGGTCAATGCTGTTACAAAATTTTGACATATCATATAATAGTAATATATCAAATAAAGTTGCTGGAATAAGTACAAAAGTTGTCATTGTGTGCATAAATAGATTAAACATTCCAGTTCAGTAGAAAGGTTACAAGCAAATTTCCTTATCTTTTACCGGCAGAAATAAAAGAAAGAAAGGTGTTTTTCTTGGACCTCAAATTAGAGAACTTCAACAAGATGCATAATTTGAAACAGGTCTAGCAGATAAAGGAAAAAAAAAGCATGGATGTTTTAAAAATGTAACTTCCTGGGAAGAAGAAAAGCTCAAAACAAACTACAAGGAATTGGTGACTCAGATAGTTAATGCATATCAAGATTTAGAATGCAATATATCTCTGAAAGTGCATTTCCTGGACTTGCATCTGGATTACTTTCCAGAGTTGCAGTGATGTAGCTGATGAACAGGGTAAAAATTTTTATAAATACATACTCACTCAGGTGAAGCAGTATAAAGAAAACTGAATGCCTCCCATGTTAACTGATTATTGTTGGAATGTTATTAGAGACAAGAAAGATAATCACCACAAATAAGATTTAACATTAAATAATTTCATTACCTAATTCCTTAATACGACTTTGCAATTGTTGACACTTTTCGGATTCTTCTTTGAATTTTAATTGATTTTCCAGCAGCTCTTTTTCCAATTGAAATTCCGATCTCTCTAGTAAATGTCAATATAATTAATTAATTCTTGAACCATATACATAAATAAATTATATATCTTAACTTTTAAAATGCACAAGTTTATTTTAGTAGAAAGCAGATTGAAATGAAAACAAAATAATCTAAGTACATTAAATTCTTTAATTTATAACTCTTTTCACATTTATAAAAAACAACTACTCACAGGAACAAACTAGTTCACTATTGATCATTTTTGAGACATTAACAGTGTGTCTTATTATCTTAAAGATCATAACTATTATCTAAGATATTATATTAATTTAATGTGCCAATCATATATTAAACTTTTAGTTGACATTCTTTTAATTTTAAGTTATTAGTGATGAGATTGTTGTAAAAGAAAGTAAAAATGATACAGAGTGCAGCATTAACAGTTTATTTTCACAAGCGCTTTCAACAAACATATTCATCGTCTTCAGGTGAACAAGACTTAAAATATAGAAGACAATATTATAATATAAATGGAATAAATATAATTTAAATCAAAATTAAAAGTCATTATGTGCATGATTAAAGTTTGCTTATGCAAGAATTTGAAACATCATGCAGTGCTTGTGTGAGCATACATCCACATTAAAGGTGTGATGGCACATACATATCACTATTTAGCCATTTATATAAGGCAACCCACACACTGGATAGGTCAAGTGTGGGTGTGTTACATGTCTACGGGAATGAAAAAGCCAATATGCCTCATCCCTTGCAAACACCTGTTGTTACTTTCCAGTTCTGAAATCCTGGGTCCACAGTGAACTTAATTCAATCATCACCTCCTGCTGGCAGAGAGAATG